AGCCAGCGCAACGCTATCCAGCATGGCAAGACGGGCGACCCGCTCGCCGCCCATAGCCTGCAGGTTGCTCACAAAGCGTGCAACCTGCAAGGTCCAGTAGGCGGGCAGCGGCAGCTGCCCGGTCTCTGCCAGCACAATGAGGGCTGGGGTGCTGTCCCGCACACCCAGCAGCCCTCGCAGGTACTTCAGCTGTACCCGCTCGCATGCCGTCCTGCCCTGCAGAATCAGCTGCGGCGCCCAGATCTCTGCCCCGTACGACAGCATCGGCAGGACGTAAGACTGGAACGCACGCATGCTGAGCAGGGGGTCCTGCAACCCATTCTCGGCCAGGCGGCGACGCAGCAGGTGCATCGCGCGCCGCCCAGCCTCCGCCCGATACGATGCCGCCGAGGCAAAGGCCTGCCGGCAGTGCAGGTGCACGCCGAGGTATCTGAAGGTGGGGACGGTTTCCACCTCATTGCCGTAGCGGAACCGCTCCTCCGTGGCAGCAGCCCTGCCAGCGGTGTACACTACCACCTGGGTCTTTTTGGTGTTAACCGTCAGGCCCCAGGCGGCACAGTAGCTCTCAAGGTAACCAAGCTGGAAACGCAGGCCTGCCGGCGTGGTGGCCAGCAGGGCCTGGTCATCAGCGTAAAATAATGGCGGCACGCACTCCCCGCTCTGCCAGCGAGGCAGAGCCGCGGCCGCAGCCTGTTGCACCAGCCCGGACTCGAAGTCATCCAGGAACAGACCGAACAATATAGGGCTCAAGGGGCAGCCCTGCTTGACCCCTGATCAGGTGGCCTGAAATGTGGGCGTGTACCCACCAGGCACTCGTACGCACATGGGAACCGCCGCATAGAGGGCCTGCACCGCCCGCACCGCCCAGCCTCCCAAGCCGGCGCTCTCCAGCTTCTGCCACAGCAGATGCCGCGGGACCCTATCAAAGGCCTGCTTGAAGTCCACATAGCAGGCATACAACGGCTGCCCACGCGCCCGCTGCCGCTCAATGAAGGGCTGACTGGCTGGCTGGCTGGCCACCCGCTGGCGCCACTCCCGCTGCCCGCCACTCCGCCACGCTGCCATCGCCACCTCCGTGATCTGGCTGGCCGGCAGCCACATGTCGTCATCCGCGCCATACCCCTCAAACCGGCACAGGTACCGCGTGCCACTCCCCCTGCCCCGCTGATCGATGACGCCTTCCATGGTGCACCACTCCTCAGCCTCCTGCGGGTCCAGGCGGGCGGGGGAGGAGGCAGAAGGGGGCGCGGCGGCAGGGGGCGCGGCGGCAGCGGCAGGCGCGGGCTGTGCGGCGGCGGGCTGTGCGGCGGCAGGCGGCGTGGGCGTGGGCGCAGGCATGGTGGTGGTGGTGGGCGGCGGCGGCGGCGCGGCAGGCAGCGGCTGGCATACGGGCTGTGGGGGCTGGCTGGCTGGCTGGCTGGCTGGCGGCGGGCTGGTGGGCTGGCGTGCGTGCGGCCGGGCGATGGGCATGGCG